TAGAGTTCCGGGAAGAGCGGAAAGACCCTAACTCTCCTATTCCTATCAATGACGTGTAACGTGTAATATGTTTGCGGTTTTCGGCTTTAAAAAGGCAAAGTGTACTGCAAATCAGGGGAGTGGTTTCTAACTGCTACCCCCAACGCGTTGGTATGTATTGCAATAAATGGGCCTCAGGCTTGAGTCTCTGATCAAAATGATGCGTGGGTGACTTTTTCCACAACAGGCCAGAGAAGAGCAACAAAAATGATTCAAGGTCTAGAAAACGTGACCTAGGAGGGAAGATTGAAAACATTGGGTTTGTTTAGTCTGGAGAAGAGAAGACTGAGGCGGGACAGGATAACAGTTTTTAAGTACATAAAAGGTTACAAGGAGGAGGGAGGAAAAATTGTTCTCCTTAACATCTGAGGCTAGGACAAGAAGCAATGGGCTTAAATTGCAGCAAGGGCAGTTTAGGTTCCTAACTGTCAGGGTGGTTAAGCACTGGAATAAATTGCCTAGGGAGGTTGTGGAATCTCTGTTATTGGAGATTTTTAAGAGCAGGTTAGACAAACACCTGTCAGGGATGGTCTATTCTAGATAATACTTAGTCCTGCCATGAATTCAGGGGACTGGACTAGATGACCTCTCGAGGTCGCTTCCAGTCCTACGATTCTGTGATTCTATCACTCTATAGCTGACCTTTCAGTCCTTATCCTCAAAGGAAACCTGCACAACACTTTCAAAAGACAAGCCTGGGAGCTTAAATTCATTACTCTGCTAGACACTAAAACTCATGGCCTGAGCAGAGATGCTGGATTTATGGCTTATTACAAGGATCTGTAACCCGCTCACCCCCTCTTTTTGTCCTGTGACTGCAGAGGTGTTAACGGGCCACTTCAACTTGAATGGGCCCTTCCACTATGTGCTAACTACTGCAACCCTTCCACCTGGCATTATGCTGTGACACGCTGAGGACCCTTCCCAGCCCTGAAGATCTGTGTGGCTGGAAAGCTTGTCTCGCCAACAGAAGTTGGTCCAATAAAAGATATGACCTCACTCAGCATGTCTCTCTAATACCCGGGGTCAGCATAGCTACAACTACACTGCATACAGGAAAACTCCCATGCCTTTGTGTCTCCTGCGCACATCCCATTGTACAGCCCCTTCGTTTAGAAAACTCCGGTTCTACAAGTGTGTTTGGGCGTTCTCTGAGACTCTGATCAAATCAAGGTCCATCTGCATTAAACACCTTCATGCAAGACAGACACATTTCCTCAGCTAGTGCACGACTGTACTTTATTGGGCTGCGAAGTGCGTGGGCCCTGTGCAACCGCAATACAAACAGTCAGCAAGTTGGAATACAAATATTCCACTTGTGGAAAGAGAGAGAGGCAGCAGCGGAGTGCTCCGAGGGCCTCTCCATCGAGATTAAAACCCTTATCATGTCACACTCCCCTGCAACCCTAAATAACACCCTGACAGGTGCGGAACAGTCGGAACAATCGACAGGTTGATTTCTGTCTTAGCCGGCCCAGGAAATACTTACAACAGTTTCTTGGACAAGTGGAGTCATAAAATTAAAGCCCTGATTTAATACCGTCCTTCCCCGGCCGTTAAAAAGTTCACTTTGGGCTGGGGGCTGAAACTGACAAGGTTTCTGGTCTGGCCGGCTGAGCTGGAAGAAGTGAGAACTTTTACCTGGGTTCTCCTTGCCCCAGAATCAGGCAGGGAATAATTGGGGCGTCTCTGCTTCCCCCAGCTCCTGTGGCGTAGCGGCTGCTCTTCGCTCTGGGGCCCTGTGGACATGACAGCTGAGAAGCAGCTGGTTTTTCTTTTTAAGGCAATCGCCAACTGCGTTAGCCCAGGTCTGGAGCTGATCCACCCCTTCTGCAAGGCTATTTATATCCCTGCACGGGCTTCACGAATAAGGTTTGTTAACGTATTGTGTCTCTAACTGGGCTGGGATAATACTGCTAGGCAATTCCCTTGCACAAACCGAATGTGCTCTAATGGGCTTAAGGATCCCCAGCTGCGTGGCTTAGCTAGCAGATGAGCGGCGGCCCCAGTCATCTCCCTGAGATTAGGGGAGGCAGCCCTGCCTTTTGCTGGGGAAGAGAGCACACAAACTGGCTTCTTTTCGAACCAGCAATGTCTCGTGACTTGGTGTTAATGCTAATAGGGATCCCACACGCCAGTCACATCCCCTGTCACAGCAGCCACGTGTATTACGGTCGCGCTAGGAGGCCCTCAGTTGAGATCAGGGCCCTATTGTGCCAGAAGCTGTATCTGGTGTATGCAGTAAGTGACAGTCCCTGGCCCACCGCGCTCGTGATCTAACCAGGCCACGGAAACGTTATACCCTTATACAGCTGGGAAACATTGCAGGCCTTGACCAGTGCCAATCAGATGAGAGATGCCCAGATGATCCCAGCAGGTGACCAGCACCCCAGGCTGCAGAGGAAGGTGACCCCCCTGCCCCGGTCCCCGCCAATCTGACCTGGTGGAAATCTGGTGACCAGTTATACCCTGAGTACATGAGCCAGACCCACCAGCCAGACATTTAAGAAAGAGGATTCTCTATACCACCCTAGGGCACTGGTCTGCCCTGTCCAGTGTCCCTTCTCCAGCTGTGGTCAATCCCTGAAGCTTCAGAGGAAAGTGAAATACATCCTGTCCAGAATACATCTAGCAAATTAGGCATGGGAGGTGAGGAGGAGGAAGATGGAATTCCTTCCTGACCGTGCAGGTGGTTGGCTGAAGCCCTGAAGCATGAGATTTGATTATAGTCATTGTCTTAATGCAGAGCTGCTAGTGCTATCAGTATGCTGAAGCTAATGCAGGCCATCCTGGTCTCCCCATGGCCCAGGAAGGAAGGGGATGAACAAGGGGACTCTCAGATTCCAAGGCCAGAAGGTGCCACATTAGTGGTTCATAGAGCTCCTCAGCCAGTTCCTTTATGAGCCTTGGGTATAAATTTTCCAGGCCTGTTGATTTGAAAGTATTTAATATGAGCAGATGCTGCCACACATCCTCTTTGGTTACAGATGGTAAAAGTTCTATTCCAGCCACATCATCATCTGGGATGGATACATCCACCTACTTCATTCCAAACACAGATCAGAAATACCTACTGAACATTTCTGTATTTTTAACCTTGTTTACCATCTGTGTCTAGCAATGGACATATGCCTGTCCTCAGGTTCCTTTTGTTCCTAATATGTTTAAGAAATGCCTCATTATTATCTTTAACTCTTGGCCATTGAGAGTTCACTGATTTCTTTAGCTTCCCTTATCAGTCACCTACATTTTTGAACTTACCATTTGTTTCCCCTTTTTTCTATCCTTTATATCTATATATCAGGGGGTAGCCGTGTTAGTCTGTATCTACAAAAACAACAAGGAGTCTGGTGGCACCTTAAAGACTAACAGATTTATTTGGGCATAAGCTTTCATGAGTAAAAACCTCACTTCTTCAGATGCATCATGCCCAAATAAATCTGTTAGTCTTTAAGGTGCCACCAGACTCCTTGTTGTTTTTATATCTATATAGTTCATTGCCATTTCTACAGCTCCTTTAAACCAGGATGGCTTCTTGTCCAGCATAACTTTTTTTCATGTGTGTGTAATTGTGGATTTTCGGGGTATCTTTTAGGATATTTTGAACAATGCCCAGTTTTCATCAACATTTCCCACTTTGAATTTATGTTCTTAGTCAGTTATGCCAGCAATGGATTTAAACTTAGGAAAACTGGCCTTTTAAAGTTGCAAATGTACGGATGACTCGTAAGTGCCACTTTCTGTTTGCACAAGGTAAATGCAACCAAATCATAATCACTGGTACCTAGGCAACTGCTAATTTTTAGGTCACCAATTAACTCTTCTTTGTCGGAATGAGATCCAGTATTGAGTTACTCTGTGCTGGGTGCAGGTCTTTCTGTGTTAAGAAATCATTATCTATTATGTTTAGAAATTCCAAGGAAGTTTTGTTACTGGCCGCAGTAGGTGTCCAGCGAGTGTCCTCCAGATTGAAGTCCCCATGATAAACTAGTCATCTCTTGAACCCAGAACCCAGGATAGTGTCTCAACCATATGACCACCCTATCTGAGCCTGTGTATTCCTTATTGCTGGTCTCATCTCACATGGATTTATCCAGCAGGGGGTGTTATGCACCACATCCTTGAGGGGGACTATGCGCCCATTCCCAGCATCACGAAGTTGTAGAGATCTTCCTGAAGCTTTATGGTGTAGATTTGCCCCTAGTTTTAGAATTAATAATTGCGGGAGAAAATACACCCAGGGCTCATGCAGGACCTGAGTGGTTTCTGGGCCTCTGTACAGGGGGAAACTTCACCCATAAAGTTCTGCACAGTCCTGGATCCTCCTTCAGATGGCAAGAGAAAAAGAACTCAAAGATTCCAATCTTTAGATTGGGTGGGAGGGATAGCTCAGTGGTTTGAGCCTTGGCCTGCTAACCCAGCGTTGTACGTTCAATCCTTGAGGGGGCCATTTAGGGAACTGGGGTAAATATCTGTCTGGGGATTGGTCCTGCTTTGAGCAGGGGGTTGGACTAGATGACCTCTTGAGGTCCCTTCCAATCCTGATCTTCTATGACCACAGCCAGTTGCTGTAACTAATGAACAGCCCAATGACTTAGTCATGATGTGTTTGGATCATATAATAAAAAACCCAACACAATTCCGAGACACTTAACAGACAGGTACCTATGGAACTTTAACAGTGTAAATTTTATAAAAGGTAGGAATGTAACACTTAAAGGGGGACACAGAATGGAATGATGATACTGTTCAGCCACTAGATGGAGCCACATGAGACCAGCCGACCTGGCAGTGTAGGAAAGTCTCTTAATGGGGCTACGTCTCGTGTATCTCTGTAATGGAGCCCCTGGGGCCAGCCCAAACCTGGTACAGAAGCCTGACCTGCTAGTAGTAGTAGCCCTGCTGCCCACCGTGTTCAAGGAGTACACAGCACAGCGTCCAGTAAAGGACCCCACCTCCATTTATTTTTTTGAGACTTTTTTTTTTTTTTTACAAAATCAAGATGAGTTTGAAATTGGCGAAGAGTTTCTGAGCAGCAATGTTGACCAGGACAATTCCACCAACGAACGCAGGGCTCATGTTGCCGGACACCCTGACACTCCTACCTGCAACTAAGGAAAGAAAATATGTGAGCTAGTGCATTGAACAACCTTTCAGAGGCCAGGAGAATATTAAGCACCTAAATCCACACTGAGTGGTGACCCAATGGATGCTCCGGATGCTCGGCACCTCTAAAAACCAGGCTGCTTATTTACCTACGTGCTGCCAACCTTATCGAGTATGAAGAAATCATAGACATGTCAGGCTGGAAGGGACCTCGCGAGGTCATCAAGCCCAGCCCCCTGTGCAGAGGCAGGGCCAAGTAAATCTAAACCAGCCCGACAGGTGTTTGTCCAACCTGTTCTTGAAAACCTCCAGTGAGGGGATTCCATGACCTCCCTTGGAAGCCTATTGCAGAGCTTAACTACCTTGAGAGTTAGCAAGTTTTTCCTCATCTGTAACCTGAATCTCCCTTGCTGCAGAGTAAGCCCATTACTTCTTGTCCTGCCTGCAGTGGACACGGAGAACAGTGGCTCACCGTTCTCTTTATAACAGCCCTTAACATATCTGAAGACTGTTACCAGGTCCCCCTCAGTCTTCTTTCTGAAGACTAAACATGCCCAGTTTTTTTAACTTTAACTTTTAAACTTGCCCAGTTTAACTTTAACTCCTCCCAGCTCAGGTTTTCTAAACCTTCGATCATTTTTGTTGCTCTCCTCTGGACTCTTTCCAATTTGTTTACATCTTCCCCAAAGTGTGACACCCAGAATTGGACACAGTTCTCCAGCTGGGGCCTCACCATTGCCAATTGAGCGGGACAATTACCTCCCTTGTCTTACATATGGCACTCCTGTTAATAGATGCCAGAAGGATATTAGCTTTTTTTGCAGCTGCATCACATTGCTGACTCATATTTAATTTGTGATCCACTGTCAGATGTTTCAAGTAATGTATCAAACTAAAAGCATCTGGCCTGTCCCTGGGACTACCAGAGATCAGAGTGGAAAGGAGAATTCTTACCTGTGTTGTCAACACATTCTGGAGACTTCTCTCCTAAAACATAAACAGAGACTTCCGTTAAACAGCTGTCTCCTCTAGGGGGAAATTTTCCAAGGCTGGCATGGACAAATGTCAGCTTTGCATCTTCGTTGGAATTGGTTCAAACTCACATGACAGCAAGCTAGACCCAGCTGAGATATGTTTGCATTTAGGTCTAGATTTTTAAAGGTATTGAGATGCCTAAAAATGCAGCTAAGCACCTTGTGGGATTTTCAAAGGCGCCAGCCACATTTGAAAATCCTACAAGCTGCTTAGCTGTATTTTTAAGCACCCAAATGCACTTAAAAATGTGGTACTTATGCCTGAGGCCGGCCTATAATAGGTGCTAGATCTCTAGGGGATTCTATGTCCCAAGTTCAGAGAAGCTATCAGAATAGCCCTGCTGAGCAACTCCCATGAAATCTATACAAGCAGGAGTTTCTCTGCACACCACAGACAGGTGGCAAGAACCTGCCTGCACTCCAGAGTAGATCCAGAAAAAGGGGAGGGAGGGATTACTTGTCTGTCTTATAAAATAGCTTTTACACCCTACATTGCCCTTCCAGCCCTGATCACAGGGACAGTGAGAGGGTCACAACAATCAAGAAGGCCAAGGATCTGTCTTTCCGGCTGGTACCATGCCTCAGCTGGGACAGTGTAACAGTGAGGCAAACAAGGAGCAATGGTCTCAAGTTGCAGTGGGAGAGGTCTAGGTTGGATATTCGGAAAAACTATTTCACTAGGAGGGTGGAGAAGCACTGGAATGGGTTACCTAGGGAGGTGGTGGAATCTCCATCCTTAGAGGTTTTTAAGGCCTGGCTGGCTGGGATGATTTAGTTGGGGTTGGTCCTGCTTCGAGAAGGGGATTGGACTAGATGACCTCCTGAGGTCCCTTCCAACCCTGATATTCTATGATTCTATGAGTCAAACTCTTGCTGTATTGTTCTGGTGCAATGCTCAGGGCTGCCAGTAGATGTCACCGGAATCTGCATCTTAAAGATTAGAATCAGGGAAGGGTCCTGTTAATGTGTCAGGGAACTGAAGTGGGTTATGTGCCTGTGGGCCCCATTCTGCTCTCATTTGCACCTGTGTGAATCAGGAGTGACTCCTCAGTGGAATCTCTATCCCGTCAGACATCAGCTGCTTGTCTTCGCTTTCAAGGCCTGTCATGGTCTATCCCCCCCCGACCCATCATCTCTCATTCGCTATGGAGGTGTCAGCTCCCCTCTCTGGTCAGCCCATGAACCCAGCCTCCGTCATTACATTTTCAAACCAGCCCCTTCCTGCTTTCTCCCCTGCTCCCTTCACGACTGGGCAGAGCTTCCCCTCAACACCCACAAAATGATCCCATCATCCTGCTTCAAATCCCTCCTTAAAACACTCCCTTGCCATGACGGCTGCAAAGAACTACAGCTCTGCTAGGCTGCCGGGGCGCTGCGCCCCCGCCCGATCCCACTGACCGCGCTGTCTCATTGTTTCCTTGGGCTCCCCTGCCCGTCTCTTTCCATCCGTAAGCTCCTGGGGGCAGGGACCGTGTTTGTCCAGCGCCTAGCACCAGGGGCCCTGGGCCGTGCCTGGGGCTAACAGGTAAGCAATATGAACAACAACTAGCGAGCACTCAGAACCAGGCCACGCGTGTCTGAACAAAGGCTAGAGGGAGGACGCTCTCTCAGACTCCTTGACCAGATTCTCCAGTGCGGTGCGGCCGCTGTGCACTGCAGAAGGTGGCCCTAAAGCCAGCGTATCCAGCCCCGAGAGGGGCAAAAGGAGGGGGTCCTCTGGTAGCATACGAGCTCCTGCTTTGCTCTGTCACTCTCCCTCCCCGCTGCTGGCATAGCAAGGAAAAGGGGGTGCAGCCAGGACAGACCTGCATCTTGCTGCTCCTCTGCTGTGTCTTCAGCCCCTTGGGGTAAATGACAGCAACCCTCAGGCTGCTGCAACATGGCCCAGGGGAAGCTGGCCCTGCACAGAGACTGCAGCAAGCTCAGAGAGTACACAGGTGGGCTTTGCACACCCCCATCCCATAAGAACATAAGAACATAAGAAAGGCCGTACCGGGTCAGACCAAAGGTCCATCTAGCCCAGTATCCTGTCTACCGACAGTGGCCAATGCCAGGTGCCCCAGAGGGAGTGAACCTAACAGGCAATGATCAAGTGATCTCTCTCCTGCCATCCATCTCCACCCTCTGACAGACAGAGGCTAGGGACACCATTCCTTATCCATCCTGGCTAATAGCCATTAATGGACTTAACCACCATGAATTTATCCAGTTCTCTTTTAAACCCTGTTATAGTCCTAGCCTTCACAACCTCCTCAGGTAAGGAGTTCCACAAGTTGACTGTGCGCTGCGTGAAGAAGAACTTCCTTTTATTTGTTTTAAACCTGCTGCCTATTAATTTCATTTGATGACCCCTAGTTCTTGTATTATGGGAATAAGTAAATAACTTTTCCTTATCTACTTTCTCCGCCTCACTCATGATTTTATATACCTCTATCATATCCCCCCTTAGTCTCCTCTTTTCCAAGCTGAAGAGTCCTAGCCTCTTTAATCTCTCCTCATATGGGCCCCGTTCCAAACCTTTAATCATTTTAGTTGCCCTTTTCTGAACCTTTTCTAGTGCCAGTATATCTTTTTTGAGATGAGGAGACCACATCTGTACGCAGTATTCGAGATGTGGGCGTACCATCGATTTAAATAAGGGCAATAATATATTCTCCGTCTGATTCTCTATCCCCTTTTTAATGATTCCTAACATCCTGTTTGCTTTTTTGACCGCCTCTGCACACTGCGTGGACATTATTAGAGAACTATCCCGACTTGTATAGTGTCTGTGCTTTGACCGTAGTTGGGGTTTGGTCCCTTATTCCTTGGCCTCATATTTGATTATGCATTTATAGGGAGAGAAGCTCAGAGTGCAACCCCCCAAACTAGCACTAAGATGAACGCAAGGAAACTGAGAATGCCCCAGTTCTCCTCCAACGAGGAGACTGTATCTAACCAGGAGAAGCAAAAAAAGAGTATGACTCATGAGGCTAATTCTGATCTCATTACCACCAGTTCCGGGAACTGATATCACTTGAGTTGCAGCAGTGTAAACAAAGTCAGAATGAGGCCCCCAAAATCAACTTTAACTCTCAAGTTTGTTCGGTAGGAAGACAACCTGGCCTGCGGAAATGCATGGTTATGCATTGCATCAAAAGGATCCATACGAGAGAACGACCCAGCCATGCAAAGACGGGAGTGGTTAGAGATCAGCGTTACAATCCAGCCGCCAGTTTTAAGACAATCTCAGGGCAAATTTAAAAACGACATTTCATTGCATGCCAAGCAAGGGAAAGAAAAGAGAATCAGTAATTAACATGCAGGAGCTAGAGAGGCACAGAAGACTAAAACCAAAGAAGCAAAATTTCCCATATATTAAGCCCGTGAGGATTATGCTGCTGCTAAACTGCACTGTTGAGTCTCCAAGCTGCCCATGCCTGGGAACATTGAGATCCTTGTGTTCTGAGGACATCGTAAACCCAAACTGGGGGCAGCTGTTCAGTAGGTATTTGGCGAGGTTTCAGGCAGTGCCCCTGGCATGAGCCAGAGATTCCCAGGCCAGAAGGGACTGTTGTGATCACCAGTCTGACCCATGTAGCACAGGCCAGAGGATTTGACCCAGGCACTCCTGCATCAAGGCCGATAACTTGGGTTTGTCTGCGGAACGGGCAAACAACGAAGGGGAGGGAAGGAGATAGTCTCGGTGGCCGGGCTGGGCTCCTGTCTGAAGGATTGTTTAATGCTGCCGGGGTGATGCTAAGGGGCAGGACGCCTACCGCTTGTAGTAGGGACCCTTAAAAATGATTTAAAAGGAAGTAAAAAATTACCCTTCCAAACTTCCGTAGGCTTCTTGGCTTCCTTATTGGGGGCCCAAGTCTGCAACCCTTGCCCACCTGGGGTGAAGCCCCTTGGGCAAAGGGGCCAGCAAAAGGCCAAGACATGACTTAATTCCCACGTAAGCCCTATGGCTTTATGGATGAGCACTGAATAGCAATAATGGCCTTATGTGGGACTGAAGCGGTGCAGAGGGCTTGGTGCCGGCCCAACGAACAGGACCGAATTTCACCCTTAGGAAATAAATTAGATTAACCTAAGATGTGGGTCACATCTGAGCCACCCATTTAACGGCTTCCTCTGCGATTGGCTTGTCCCCGTTCCGAGGTGGCCGAGCCTGGCTTGCTCCCGTTCCAACGCGGGCCGGCACTCACCCCCAAGGTAGGCGCAGTTGTAATGGCTGCAGGTCCGGTTCATGCTGTGCAGGAGGAAGACGCTGCGGTTCCCCTCCCGGGAGAAGCTGGAGACGTTGAACACCTCGCTCCCGGGGATCAGCACTTCTCGCTCGGAAGGGATGGCGGAGAACGACTCGATGTGGACGCCGAAGCAGGAGCGCAGGGTGAAGAACGTGGCGTTGCCGTAACTCCGAGCTAAAGCCACGTCCAGCGAGGAAGAGGTGAACTGTCCGAACCGGAACATACCTGCCCCGCTGGGCTCGAAGCGGATGGATCGGACTCCCCGGAACAGCTGGCGTCTGAACAGGTGGCCACAGTCAGCCCGTAAGAGCTGTAGGGCTCTCGTCAGATAGTAATGGAGAGCTTTGAAGTGGAAATTGCTCATGTAGTTATCTCGGGAGACCCCAGCCTCTCTCACTGCCTTGTTCAACTCCCAGTACAGTGGCTTGGAGGAATCAGTGTAGACCAGGATGGCTATGCCATGTTCATCCCTAAAGCCCTCGGGCACAGAAAGCCTTTTCTTCTTAATTGCCCAAACAGCCGATAGGTTTCCCCACATAGAGCCCAGCAGCGGGTGTCTGGCTTTTTCCTCCTCTAGCAGGCGAGGTGCAATATCCGTTTCCATTTCCTCAGTGCAGCCGGTGTACTGGTCATCGAAAGAGTCGGGTGCCATTCCCAACTGCACAGACTGCTGGCATCTCACCTGGAGGGAGACGAAACAGGTTGCTAAGGGGGTGGTCGGGGGTAGCCAGGTCTGACTGGCAGCTCAGCCATCTTGCCCTGCAGTGGCAGAGTAGTTCTCATGCTGGGCCATGCAGCCAACAATGCTCCCGCCCCATAGCTCCTGGGCACAATTTTACCCGATGGAGGGAACTGTTTTTCAGTGACACTGGACTCAAACTGGATTACCGAATAGCTCTGCAGGCATCACCGTGGCTCACTGACTAGAGAACTGGACTAGAACTCAGGAGAGCTGGGTGTTCATCCCACCTTTAGAAAGTCACGTCCCCTCTCTCTGCCTCAGTTTCCCTGTGTGAAACGAGGGAAATGATTTTTCTCATGCTTTGGAGTCTGGAGCAAAGCATTCTAGTACTTAGAGTGCCTTCCCATCCGAGGGGTGTGTTCTACTGACTGGCAGCCACATCATGGAGGCTGATTAAAAGCAAAATTTCATCTCCATCCGGACTCCCCCACAGCTCACAGGATATTCCCCACCTGTACACAGCGGCACTAATACTTACACAGTGAACAAACAGCCACAGTCGCGGGGTGGCTCTCTACAGACGGGCCCTCCTCTCTCCTCCCACCGGCTGTGACCCTCTGAGACGCCACGTACCTGAACCGCCGGGACAGAGACAGGTTACGGGAATGAGGGGACGGTGGAGAGAATTCAGCTGGAGGAATTCAGTTACCTGAGAAGTTTCCAGCAAGGCGAGAGCCCAAAGAGAAGCCAAGGAGAGAACCACAGACCTCAACGTCTTCATTTCCCAGCTCACCTGCGAGGCTGAAGGCAAATCCAACGGGCAGATCAGTGGACATCGGGCAGATTTCGACATCACCCGCGGGGGGATGTAGCCTCCCCAGTCAATGGGTGCGCCATGCTGATCTGCTGGGAGGGTACCACCCTCGACCCTGGCACCAGCACCCTAATGCCAGCCTGGTGTGGAGGACAGGCCTGTGGGGGCGCAAGGATGTTTGGGGAGCCAGCCCGCCCCATGCTCACCCTGCAGCGGTGGCTCTGTCCCGCAGGCCTATGCCTCGCTCCTCACTCAGGGCATAGCGCCACCGGGGGCTGGTGCGGCACCCCCCCATCATGATGGAGCAGGGAGCCAGGCTCAGCCAGTGTGGTGGTCTTGTTCTCCACACTCTTCTACCCCTCTTTAGGCCTCCTCTTCCACACCAGGCTGGGAGAAGTGTAGGTTTACCTGGCTTTGCCCCCTTGGTGCCACGATTTCTGTAGGTGCAACTGATCCCATGAACCTACGCTGCCATCACCCATAACCACCAACCGTCTCACGTCAGTCTCGACACCACTCCCGCAGTGAGGACATCCCGTGCACACGGCAAGGTTTCAGAGGACAGAATTCCTGCAGCAGAGGAAGCCCAGCCTGAAGACAAGTTGTTGACTATCTGGTATATTTTTAGTAACCCTAATTTCTTTTCACAGGAGCCAGCTGGACAAGACAGGGCTCGGTCACAGTCCAGAGGACGTGGCTAAAAATAAAGGAACGGAGCTGCTGTTTGCATGGAGACACTGTCTAGGGTTCACAGGGCAGACACATCAGCAGAGACCGTGGATATCTCAGCCGGCAGCCTCTAGGCCTAGAATCATGCAGGAAGTGACAGATTTTAGTGGGGTTTCCCGGAATGTACATTAATCATGCAGAAGGTGAAGCGTTCCACTCCGGGGACGCTGCGCATGGTTTTGATTTCAGACGGTGTCCCAGCAACCCACCGCCAGACGCATGCAAACCCTGCGCACGGACAGGGACAGATGGCATTTGTACCAAGGCCAAAAATCACAGGGAGGGAAGCAGCTTCCAGGAGTTACGTAGGAGACAGCCTCAGGGCACTGTTCACAACAAACACAAGCATGGGGAGAGGGGGCTGTACCTGATTTCCCCAAACAGATCACTGTTCCCGGCAGGCAGAATCCCAAGCCACACGTCTTACGTTGAAGGGTCCAGCTGATTCCCTGATCCCACTGGGGCTTCTTCAAAGAAAAAACTCTATGGGAAAAACATTTTTCCAAGCCCTTTCCCTCCCTGCAGGAAACAGCTGAAACTAAGTAACAACACGACACTAAGCCCAGTTTATCTTCGTTATTTCCATATATTTGACCGGAGATCCCAGAAAGCAGAGCACAGCCAGTGCCATGTAGGCTACATACAGCTCTCGGGTGTCCCAACACCGCACGTGTAGCCACTCATCTAGCAAGGGACCAGCTGACCTGCATTCAGTTCCCGTAAGTAGAATCAAGCTGGAGATGCCTTCGCCCTGCACAGATCTGTTTACAAAGTGGAGTGATTTTGGTTCTAAGCCATGACCTTTGCTGACTGAGATAAACAAAACTAAAACTCCAGCTAAACTGCCCAGCACATGGGCCAAGAAGTGCCTCTGGCTCACAGTTTTTCTTCATTCCAGAAATAACTAGGGGCAACAAGAAGAAATAGCCTGTAAAGTGTAACCCTTCTGCCAGGGGGTGAGGGCAGGGACCAGGGCCGGCTCCAGGCACCAGCCAAGCAAGCTTGTGCTTGGGGCGGGAGATTGTTCGAGGCGGCATTCTGCCCAATCCTAGGGCGGCACGGACGCTTTTTTTTTTGTTCCGCTCCGGCCGCCCTGTAGGGGGCGGCAGCGCGGAGAACCAGAGCGCCCTGCAGGGCAGTCCTCTTCCTTCCCTCCCCGCCGACCGGAGCGGAGCCCTCGCGGCAGGCGGCAGGAGGCGGCGCAGCGGGAGGGGCCGCGTGGCAGCGCCCCTGCTGTAGCCCTGGCCGCCCCCTTCTCTCTCTCTCCCGCTGGCTCCCTCCCCC